TTCCATTTAACTTAGTAGAAATGATAATAAAGGATGTTAATTTAGCTTTTATATAAAGAATCATTAATTAGAAATGTCAAAGGAATTTATGAGAAAATAATCATCAGGATTCATCAAGAAGAGCACATAAACAATTCGTTTTATATCTGCTAATACATATTTTGAAGATTAAGTTAAAGGATAATCTATTTAAAAAATACAATTATAAAAGAGTTTAATATAAACTCATAATAATTCATAATAATAATTTAAACTATCATCTACAAATAGAATAAATGCATATCAAGAAAGCAAAAATTAGAGTGAAGAAGATAGTTTTTCATCTATTCATCCTCCTATCTTAAGTCCAAAATTTTAGTAATCTATTGTACAATGCAGTCTTAACAGTGACTGTTGCTCAAGAGTATTAATTGTAGATGATGAATACTTTAATATACAATGTCTGAAATTATTGATGACTAAATATTAATCAAAATGTGATTCAGCCTATAATGGAAAGGAAGCAATATAAATTGTAAATCATAAGAAACATCATCCTTGCAAGAAATGTGGAAATCGATATTACAGTTTGATATTCTTGGATATTAATATGCCAATTTAAGATGGTTATAAAACAGTTAAAGAATTAAAACATTTAATGAAATAATAAATAATAAATAAGGCTTGGTGTATTGCAAATACAGGATTTTGTGACCTAGATACAAAACTAAAAAGTTATGAAGCAGGCATGGATTATTACTTAACTAAACCTTTAGATTAGAATGAACTTAGAAGTATTTTGAATGTATTATTTCCTATTAATGATTACTGATTATAATATATTATAAATTATAATTTCATTTCTAATTTTATCTAATTATATATACTCATTATGTAAAAATATTTACAAATCAAATTAATTTATTTTTATCCATATGTTGATCTATAACAATATAATTAATATTTTTGATTAATTTTGGTTTTGAGAAAAGATATCTTAAATTAATAATATATATATTGTTCTGGAGTTAAATTCTTATTTATGAAGAATAAATAAACAATATTGAATAGGAAATTGTCAAAAAAATGTAAGTCTTTTCAATTATATATAATCTTTTAACTAACCAATTCTTTTGTTAAGTGGATCATTATATTACAAAGTTATATATGTATTGTAGTTTAAGTGATTATTTAAATCATGCAATTATTCTATTTGGCCTAAACATAAATCATTATAATTTTTATAATGCTTGCATTAATATATATTTACTCTTTGAAATCCACATAGATATTATTGGATTCATATTTTATAGATATTGCAAATAAAATATACATTAATTGTATAAAGTTTATTTATTGATCTAAAAGCAATTTAGTTCAATATTTAGGAAATAGATGATTTTGTAAATATAAAGTAACAAATTTGTTTTTTTTTTATTTTTAATAATTTAATGTTTAATTATAATATTGATGACTATTCAGCATACATGATATCTCATGATCAAATCAGTCTAACATATAGAGGATAAATGTAACACTCTCAAAAATATTAGTACAAAGGAGATATATCAATTCAAATTTTTATAATTTGACATTTTAGAGGAGATATTATTTTTAAAATAAGAAGAAACTGCTGTCTCTTTACCTTGGGCTAAAACAATAATTGTTAATTTTTGGAATATTCCAAAAGAGAATTATACATTGTTTAATTTATATGGAGGTATGAAAATACTATTTGATATGGACATAATTAAAGATCTTTAAGAAGTTCAATTCAAGTTCTTTTCTAATGAAGATATATAAGCATTATTTAAATTAAAATGGTTACAATCTGATAATAGCAATTATTTTTATTTTGAAATACAAGAAGTGGTATAATTATATTATTAATCAATTTAGAATCAATATGAATTAACACTTTAATGGAGAGATCCGATTTAAAATGCTGAATGCAGTAGTTTAGAATTAGAGAGATAATTATTAAAGAGAAATTTAACTTAATTGTTAAATAAAATGGGTGATTATAAGTATAATTAATAATATTTTAGTAATATATATGATTAATAAGAGTTATTTGAAATGATTTTGGAAAATCAATATGATACTATATATATATACTTTCCTTCAATAATAAAATTAAAAATGCATACTAAAATATTTGAAGAGAGTGAAGAATAATTTAGATCAGTAGAATTGTTTATTCATAATGAATGGTTTAAGGAAAGATAAGATAATTTGATTGCTTAATTTGAAATATTGCATTCATAAATTTAAAGATCTATGAATGATTATCCTGATGAAATAATTTTAGATTATGCCTTGATTTATGATGAAGAATAAATAAATTGTTCTTAATTAATGAGTAAGATTAATTCATTAATTATTAAAATATTGTTAACAAATAATAAGAAAATTCAAACCATCTTATTATCTTTAATGCCTTTAGAAATTCATTTTGAATTAGATATAAAAAGATAAGAACTTAATTTAGATATAAATTTACATCATGAAGATCCATAAGATATATATTAAGAAGGATTGATAATTTTATTATAAACAATTACAACTTGTAAATTGTTTTAATCTTTGAAAGTAGATATTTAATAAGAAGATGATTCAAATAATGTAAAATTTCTATTATTTTCTTTCATTATGATGATTCATGAATTCTAATAAACTCTTATAAAAAAAGGAACTTTTACTTATAATAATTACTCTTTGATTCCAAGATATAATTCAGTTTGTTCAAAAGGAGCTATGAATTATTTAATTTCAGAAAAAAAGTAATTGAAATATTGTTATTATAGATCAATTTATTAAATTTCAGAGAAAGATTATCTTGATATTCAAAGAGAAATAGGATGTTTTATTTAATATCTTAATTGGTATGCTAAAGATAATAATTCAATAATAATTTCTTGTGATATGTGTGAATTAAGTAATTCTAGTAAATAATTCTATGATCAATTAATTTAATAATTAATAAAATAGAATACAATATTTGAATTTGGAATATTAGATAATGTAAATAGAGATTAAAAATATTATGAAAGAGTTACTTAATAATTATTATTACCACTTATAAAATATTTTAGATAAAAGAAAAGAATATTGACAACAATGTTTATGATAGATAGAAAATATTAGAGTAGAATGAGATGGGAGACTATAAAAGAAATGATTAATTATTTGCCAAATGAATATTAATGCTTGTTACATTTGTAAAATTGAATAAAATGAAAAAAAAATTAAATCCTTTTAAATAAATTATTAAAAAAAGAAATAATTCCTAAGTAAATGCCATCAAAGAGAAGAAATAATGGTCGTTCAAAGAAAAATAGAGGTCATGTCAAGCCAGTCACATGCTCAAATTGTTGTAGATTAGTTGGCAAAGATAAGGCCATCAAAAGATTCACAGTGAGAGATATTGTTGATGCATCATCAAAGAAAGACATTTTGGAAGCTTCTGCTTATGAATCCAAATAATAATAGTCAATTCCAAAATTATTTGATAAACTTCAAGTAGTGTTAATAAATTAAAGTAGTATTGCATTTCTTGTGCTATCCATGCACGTATCGTTAGAGTGAGATCAGCTGAAGATAGAAGAATTCGTGTCATTGAAAGAAAACGACCTGTTTAATAATCAACATAAAAAAAAGATGCACCAAAACCATAAGCTCCAGTTGCAGCTTAATGATATATCTAATACAAACATACATTATAAAATATTCATTTATTTCATTTATTAAGCATCTTGAATCCATTTTTTTAGTATTTCTATAAATAATTTAAAAAAAAATTAATATCTTCAATCAATGACACATAGTTATGGTTTAAAAAAGGGAACAAGAAGCAAGTTTGCAAAACCATTTAGAGGACATGGCAACATAAGTATACGTAAAACACTCTAAACATTCAAAAGAGGTATAAATTTTATAGTATTTCTTATAATAGGTGATTTCGTTGATATTTTGGTTGATGGAGCATAACATAAAGGAGTACCATTTTAATATTATCATGGAAGAACAGCTAGAGTATTCAATGTTAATCCAAGAGGAATTGGTGTCTCATTATAAAGAAGAGTAAGAGGAAGATATGTTGAGAAAAGATTTCATGTTAGAGCTGATCATTTGAGACCATCAAAATGCAGAGAAGAATTTGTTAAAAGAGTTTAAGAAAATGATAAAAAAAAGACTGAAGCTAATAAATTGAAATAACATATCTCAACTAAAAGACAACCTGTTTTACCAAGAACTGCTGAAATTGTCAAACCTACAGCTACAGTCTTTTAACATCCAAAAGCATTTGTAGAAATTATTTGAAATATAATATTATAAGTATAATAATATAATAATTTAACATTAAATCTATTTAATATTATTCTTAAATTTATGATAGATTGATTTTTTGTCTCAAATAAGCTAATAAATAGGAAGAATATATATCTGCTTTCAAAATATTTAATATTTATATTATCCTCTTAAAAATTTAATGATTAGAGAAAAACTCTCTGATAAAGATTTTTTTATACCTTAAGTACTAATCCTTTATTTTATACTTAAATTATATTAAAATATTTACAATGAACTCTACAGAATTAAAATTCCATTTTAATTTTACTTTTGATTAAACTAAGTCTCAAAACATTAGAAATTAAGATACTAAAACAAAAATTGATGATCTATGTGAATTCTAAAAATAAAACCTAGTTTTACACAAAGGAATTTTTTAAACTCACCTAATAAAAGCAACAGTAAAAATTTTAGAACTTAAACTCTTTTTTAAAAAGATTTTTTGTATGAATAAAATTATTAAAATAATATTCAAAGAATGGAAAAAGAAAAATAATTCCTATTATTCATTTAATAATTATGAAGACTACATTTCTAAACATATATATAAACATTTAAATGGGCTTGTTATTATAATTTTTATAAAAATCTTTTCTATATTTAAAGCTAAAATATATTGTTGCTATATCATCTTTATCTTTAAAGGGACTTAATTTATTCCTGTAATCTCATTTTCTCTTTTTCAAAATCTTCTTTTAATTAAAGATTTTTTTATTATTCTTATTCAAATTTCTAGGTAATTTCATTTAAAGAAGCCTTATAATTTTATAATTCTTTTCTTGTTTTTCAAAATTTTCTTAATCTTATCCATATTGCTTTTGGATTTTTTCATGCTCTTTTTGTATGTTTTGTAAAATTTTTTCACATTCTTCTTTATATTTAGTCACTTCTTAGGTGACCTGCTTTTATACTTCTTCCTCTCTAGCCTTACACTTTTTTGTGATAAGTTCTTCTAATTCCTTCATATCTATTTCTTCACCTTGTTGCATTTAAAGAAATAATTTTTAATTTAATCAACCACTTTTTAATAAAGTCACAATCCCTTTAAATCATCTAATTCTATTATTAAATAATAAATCTTTTTAGAATTAATTATACAAAAAATATTGAATTTTTAAGTTATAGATCTCAAACCCTTAATCTAAGCCTTAATTATTTAACATTTAGATCTATGTTATTAAATTACATTAATATAATCAATCTTCTACAAAATTTATAGATTTTATATATACAAACTTTATTATAGGAAATCATTTGCTTATCTTTAATTTATTATTTAATTATCAATTATTATTACTTAATTACTCATATTTAAAGACTAGACAATCAGTCAATTAAGATTCCTGATTGATTCTTATTTTTATTTAGTAAATCAATTTATTCATTATTTTTCAAAAGTTATAATTATGTTTTAGATTTGTGAATATAAATAATTATTGATATTAATACTTTGTTTTCTCCCTATCAGTATAGAATTAGACTGATTAGTTTTATTCAGGTATTCTTTTTTTTTAAAGTTTCATTCGAAGATTTTTAGTACATTTATAATTTTTTACTTTTCTTGCTTTCTTCTCTAGTCTATTGAATTTATTGAATTAAGATATTTTATGATATTCAATATACAAAGTTATTAATTAGGTGCTTCTTCAACTTAATCTTCTAATTTGCTTATTTTTCTACAAGTTATTTCTACAATTGTAAAATTTTCCTCTTTACAGTCATTTAATTTCATTTCGTCCTTTTAATTTTAAAACTAATAATACCATCATTTGTACACAGCCTTTTCTTTTAATTGATCTAATATATTTTATTCTTCTTATTATGTATGTACTAGGTTTTGATTTAAATCCTCTTTACTCATTACAGAGATTAATAATTATCTAATTATTATTTGAAGATAAATTGTATTGCATTTTTTATTAGTATTTCTATAAAAATAAATCTTTTTTATTAATAATTATATATTCATATATTATTATTATTATTTAAGTTTAATACTTTAATTATATACAAAGAAAGTTAACCTAAAAACAATCAAGAAAATAAGTATAATCTAAAACTTGATATTAAAAATATTTAAATTAAAGTAGATCAAATTAATTAATTCATTAGATAAGTAAAATACATTAATAATGAATTGTAAATATTTACTTAAAGAATCTTTTAATCCTTCATTCAAATTATAATTTATATAATTTTAAATAAAAAATATGCTCATTATTATGTTTCATTAACATTTCTATTAGTATTCTTTTAAAAAATTACTGTTCCCACTTGGCAATAGTTCTAAATTTAATATTTTAATTTATTACAATTTATTTTTAAAGTTAAGATTAATTCTTCATTTGAATTAACCAATTACTAATTAGTCATCATCACTTTCTTTTTAATATCTTCTAATTATGTTTTAATATTGTCATTTATGTATATAAAATCTGAATTTTTTCTCTATTTTAATTGTTATTCTTTGTCTTTCTTTTCCTATTCTTCATATCTTAATTAATTTTTAATATCTTCATTTGAGATTTCATATAGGTGTTTTTCTTCTAATTTAAGTATTTCTTCTTATTTTTATTTTTTTTATATTTCAAGTTATTCCTTATACTTTTAATATTCTTCTTAAGCCTTCTTTTCCTCCTGTTTGAATAATTCAAGTTATTTTTCTAAATCAGATTTTTCTTTTTGGAATTCTTCATTCTAAATTTTAAGCTTCTCCTTATACTTTTGTTGAATTTCTTTAGATTTTTCCATCTATTACTAAACACTTAAGGTTTTTTCTATGGCTTTCTCTTCCTCCTGTTTGGATAGTTCAAGTTATTTTTCTAAATCAGATTTTTCTTTTTCCTTAATTTCAAGTCTTTCCTTATACTTTTCTTGAGTTTCTTTGGCTTTCTTCA